TTGTTTTCGTAGCAATAATTATCGTTCGCTAATAGAGTACAAGATTCTCTCACTAAATGTTTTCATTTAATACATAAATCGATAAGGAGTGTTAACTTTACGTACAGTAAGGTATCCGTTTTTTCTTCGAAGATGGTTTCAAAATATAAGAAGTCGATGGAAATAATAAGGCATTGTTTCAAAGAAGCTTTTTGACTCAACAAGGCACTGTTTGAAGTTCCAAGCATTTGTGGATCTGTGGCATCATTTGGCACCATATTTTGCGGAACACAAAGTTATAATGAATACGAATACAGTGTTTCTAATATCGAGTGTGATATTTGTCAATCACGTGTCATAAAGTCAGAAAAGGTTATGGGTGTAACCTTGGAAGTATTCAAGGTAGCAAGTTGAGCATTGTACATTATTTAAGAAAGTGAATGAAAAAATATAGAGGTACCCAAAACTGGCTTGTAATATAAAATTAATCGTGAAACCAAATCTTGTGTATGCAAATTAAACATCAAAGTACATTTCGTGAGTTTAAAGCAGTTATTTATATTTTTGTTTGAAGGAATATTTTAATGAATGCTTTAAGTTAAATAAATTCATGACTGAAATTACAATGCATTCAAGTCATACGGAGGCAGCTATTAAACAACATGGCAGTGTTATGTAGTATGTAGAGGGTGTTCTTTGCTGATGCCTTTGACATTTTCTCAATAATCGGTCTGTGGAATCTTACACTATGATGTTATCATTTGTAATACTATGTTTCTTCCTCGATCAAATATATGGTCATCGACTTATCAGAGATGTTTACGAAAATTCTAATTTTACTGACAAGTCAAAAAGTATTGTTTTGGGTCGCGTACCTACAGAGGCCTGGAAAGACATACCAGTGAAAATCGGGGTGGAAGAACGCTGGTACAACGAATACTGGTGCACGGACTGGTGGAAGCATTTTTTGCGCTACGACGAAATCCTGCACATAGTTGCGCTCCGTTCAGGATTCCGATGTGAAGTGATCAAGATCGATCTGGAATGGACGGACGGTAGGGTGAGTCTGGAAGGCGGGTACAGGGAACTGGTCAAGGGGAACATCGACGTGTTCATGGAGCCCATTTACTTCACCAACCCCTACCTGTCCAACGTCAGCATCTTGTACCCGCACGAGAGCAACAACATCTGCTTCCTCATGCGCAAGGAACCAGCGGTGCGCCAGAGCGTGCTGCTGACGGTGTCGATGTCCATCTGGGCCGCCACTGGTACGTCCGTGATGATGTTCATCCTAGCAGCCGGGCTGGGATTCCGCATGAACTTCGGAATAGCTGTGTTCGAAGTCATTCGAACGATCATCTTCGGCAGCTTCGACTTCCGGTTGCGACGCCTCATGCTGTGGCTCAGCATCCTCAGCTTTTTTATTGCCAACACCATCGCAGGGTCGCTCACCGGGTCGATAATCGCTCCGGGCCATCTCAGCCAAATCGACACGTTGGAAGAAGTGGATTCGACGGTCAAGAAAATATTCATCCCGTGGTACTACCATCACCAGCTGCAGCATGTCGAATCGTTCGGCGGGACGTACTCATCTCTGGCCCGGAAATTCATCACAGATTACGAAGTGGAAGATGCTTACGATAAGCTACGTAACAACAGCATCGCGATCTTGTCTCCGTCGTACACGCTCATGTACATCGAGAAGCTTCTTAACGTCAAGATGGGCAGATGCTCGCAGTACTACCGCGTGCCCGAATGCGTCATGAGCCCAACGTTTGCTTCATTTCCCATTCGCAAAAACTGGCCCCTAGCGGATCGTTTCAACGGCCTCGTTTTGAGGTTAGTGTCGTCGGGGCTGACGCTGAAGCTCTGGGAAGACCAGGCCCGCCAAACGTTGGGGCTAAAGTATTTCACGTGCTCCTCAGCCAAAGACGGAGATTCTTCTGCCCCTTTTCACGCGCTGACGTTGCTGCACATGAGGGAAGCTTTGGCTTTGGGGACACTGGGGACCTTTTTGGGAACCCTGTGCTTTTTTGTGGAGCTGGTGACAGGTCGACGGCTAGCGCCGAAAAACTCTCACACGAAAGCACTTCGCGCTAGAAAGACTCGTACGGGTTTCCGCATCCTACGAGTCGTGGGTTTACTATGTTGGATGATTCCCTTTCAGAGACGCAGGTGAACAGCACACGTTTTAAGGAGTGGTTGTCAGGAGAAGGGCCAAACCCATTGAGGACACGTGACAAGTTTTACCTCTTCGGGTAAACCGGAGCATCTGTAGCCACCCTCCTACGAGTAATACGAACTAAACCTGCTTGCTTGTGGTTTGCTTCGAGATAGATCCTAAGGCGGTGATCACAATATAACCTATTCTTGCTGAAGCTGAACATGTTTTTGTTCGATGTGCCGGAATCGTTATATGTGCTGGTGATATGTTATGTTCATAGCGAACATAAAATGACCTCTTCCGATGACGCCCGAAAACATTGGCAGTCGGACGAAGATCTGTTTTGTTTGATTTTGTCCGGTCATCGAAATTTCGGTCTAAATCGGCTCCACTGCCACTGCCGCCTTAGGACCTCACGAATCTGTGCTGGTGATCCTTAAGCGGGTAACGTTTTGTTAAACCGGAGTAGGTAAAATAAATGAAGTATGAAGCAATAATGAATCGGTCAAACTGTCACGGGCGCCCAATTCGAAGACTCTCGTTTTATCAATTCATAAGGGCACGTGTGATTACATGAAGCGAAAAAAGCACTTGCATTGTCATTCGAAGAAAACGTATTCAAATTAATACGCGAAAGAAATGTGCAAGCAATTTACACAATAATAATTACACAAAATACCAACCAACATTCGGTAGCATACAATTACATTTAAATTATAATTTAATTTAACTTTGAATAACTCATTGCATTGTTAACACGTTCACGTTTTAAAATATTAAACCTCAATTTCAAAAAAATATTTGAATTGCAAACGAATTGGTAACACTAACATGAGTAGGAAATCAATTGAATCTTATTATAATTAACAATGCGTGGTGCTATAAAACCGAAAGTAAAATAGTTTTCTGTGATTGTGATGGCGTACCTTCCATTTTAGTTTTTAAGTTCTCGTAATGGCAGTAATTCAGATTTGTATTTCGCACGTGGTGAGCTTTTGCAGTGGTGAGATGAGACCGCCTCTACCTCGATTTTTTTTCAATTTCTATGAACCAAATTATTGTGAAGAAAAGTGATATCCAATTATATAATCAATTATTGAATATAAAAAAGTATGGTTTTTATAATTGCATACAAAATAGCACACAAATATAAACATGCATACTACATATTTTCCCACGTGTCATCTTATATAAATATGACGTGTTATGATAAGTGTAATCTGCGCACATTTTCTGGAGCTCCAGAATCAAATTAATCCATGAGAGAGCGCTGTTACAATCACTGGATTACTCTGCACTAGATCACAGAATATTTATGAACTGAATAAAAACACGTGCTGTTATCCAGCGACACAGAAGGAAATTACGTGAACATCTTGATAGCATTCCTTGCATGTAAATATTAGTTCTTAAACATACTAAAATGTATGTAAAGTGTATTTTTTATTTTTTCCTAGATCTTGTGGCGACTTGCCACATTGAAGGGTAAAGAGGGTTCTGAAGATTGTCCTAGAAATATCATTCAAATTTTAATCGTCATCTCCAATGACTATTAAATCAGAAAGTAGATAAGGAATCCCTTTTTTCACGTTTTAGATAAACCAGCAAACCAATATTTCAGTATTAGAAATGTATATCATTTCAAAATTTAATGACATCACCCGTTTAAATACACTTCCAACATAAATTGAAGTAGGTTGAATCTTGGATTAATGCAATCAGCATGCATCATTGTGGATTAATCCAATTCCGTATTCTGAAGGAAAATGTCGAGCAGAAAGAAATAAAATAATAATAAAAAAGATAATTATAGCATCATTCAATCACCCAATATTTGCAGTATTGATATTAATAACCATAATTTCCAGCAATACATATTACGCAATAGTTAGCAATTACTAGATATTGTTTGGCAAAATATGGGATTTTGAAGTTTTTGTGTACTTTATTAAAATGTACCAGTTAGTGTCCTATTGTCTGTTTGTATTGAAAATTATTTTGTTGTATGAAATATTGTAATTAAGCGCGTGGAATAAATAAAATAAATTTGTAGTATTTAATGTGCATAAATGTAAAATTTTACCTACCAAAATGCAACACATGACAAACAAGTAGTACTTCTGAATGGCACAGACTATCGTACTAGTTAGTTTCTCAATTTTTTTTATCTGGGATAATTTATCGGTCTTGCCTCAACCTCTTTCTCATCCCCATCTCCTGCCACCTTCCACCGCCCAAAGTACATTTTTTAAAATTTTCCCAATTTTTCGGTTTCCTGATGATACAAACGAAATATTACATTATAAATATTATAGAAGAGTGGAACATTATCATTTATGGAAATTTTCGATGCCAAATTTGGAGCCTTTATTAGAAAACGTCTTTTGAGCGTTACTGTAAAAGCAATATTTAAAGATCTTTTAAGTTTTTGAGAAACTTTACAAGACATGATTTGAAGCAAATGTATTTATAAACGAAATAAAGTATGCTCTTTGACTTTATTGTAAATATTAACTACGTGTGATTTCAAAAAAAAACAATTCTGTATTTTTTTTTAAAAAAAAGCAAAATGGCGTTTATATAATCTTATACAGTACTTTTAGGTCTTTTTCCAACAAAACTTTAAAGAAAATATATAGCCCTTTTTGAGACTTTTTGGGTTTTTGATATTTTTAATATAGCTCTTATTTCACTATGAATAACGAAATCGATTTTGCTCAGCATTTCATAACTTTCTATGAACTATGTATATATGTACATGTACTGGGAAGTTTAAATTAAAAACATATTCCTGCGCTACAAACTCTCTGCTTTATTTAGCATCATAACATCGTACACGAACATGAACATCAAACAGTTACTTGAGCTTCTTCTTGGGGCGCAGGTGGTTGGTGTGGCCGCACTTCTTCTTGCGGCAGTTGGTAGCCCTGGGGTGCAGGCGCGCGTAGCATTTGCGGCAGATCATCTTCTCGCAGTTGAACTTCTGCGCGAGCGAGCGCAGCGTCGGCTCGATGACGCCGCCCACGAGGCGCAGGCTCAGGTGGAGGGTGGAGCCTGCAACAGACGCGGCGGTCCCGTAAGCGCGGTGTATCAGGGGGCGGATCCAGATCCATCCGTTTTGGGACGGGGCATTCAAAAAGTTTGCGGCCAATGTGTCGTAAATACAGAATGATGTAAAATGTTGCAGTCTGCACTCAGCTCATGTTGCGATACGATTTTATCTGATTTAATGATTATCTGATAATATTTTTGCTTGAAAGTTTCGTGGCAAGTTCAAATTAATAGTTACTAAAAAATTTAGGGAAGGAAATTTCTTTCAGTGTGTGCTTTTATCACGGGAGGTAGCGGTGAACCCCGGTTTCCCTACTCAATGGCGAGATCCGACGCCGACCTACACGTCGGTTTAGGAAGGTTTTCCCCTACCAGTTATCTCCCACCAGCGAGGTACCACTCCAGCTTGGACAAACGCTAAAATTCTGACTGATCTCCCGACGTGTGTAGTATTATAGTGAATGAAAGGGCTGAGGATAGAACGAAGAAGAGGAAGGAAAGATCTCGGGCGGTCCGTTTATTAGGGTACTGCTCCAACATTGGCATGTTGTTGAACGGAGAAACCACGAAAAACTACCCTCCTATCTAGATATTGTCCAAAATCCTACCAACGAGACTCGTACCCCTGGACAATCCATCAGAGGCACTGCAGTGACATCCATCGATGCCATGAGCCACCTAAACCGGTAGCAATGGCCAGCGCTGTTGTTTTTTAAACACTTTATTTTCTTCTTTTTGGACCATATAGTCTCTCAAGAGATTGAACATTTTTTGTAAATCGTTTTTTTTTAGTATTTGGCATCCCTAAGATAATATCCATCGTGTCTCTTAAAAAGCCGAATTTTGAATACTATTTTTATTCATTTTATGTTTAGTTATACTATTTAAAGTAATGTTTGTGGTTGTCGTGGAGAAGAGGAGGAATTCAGTGCAGAATAAAAACTGATCGCAGGGTTGTAAATATGATTTTTAAATACATTTACTTTGTAGTTCGCTGTGAAACTACTTGGTATGAGCCATGGGGATTGAATTAATGTTTGAAGGCAATTGTTTTGTATACAAACACACAAAGTGATTGTTTATTGTTTCCGAACGTATCAACCTCTGTCTTTATTACTAGTGCCCAATTCGCGCAGAAATTGAAAGAAAACTGCAGCCTTCGACAATTTAGAGGGGTCTATGATTTTGTTAGATACTCAGGAACATGAAACAGTTTTGATTTTGACTGAAAAATATAAATATTTGACTGTTAATATTTTCAGCACGGCTCCAAGGAATAGGCTTCTCTGATTGGCAGTTTTCCGAGCTTTCTCAGCTCAATATCGAACCAACGTCGGATCAGAACCCCAACAAAAGGGCCTCGGACCATGAGCGAAGATTTTATCCTCTTCCTTATCCTATCCTGACCCCTTGCACAAACATTTACATGTTCTTGAGACAGTCCTGTCTTCAAGCTTTGTTCTGGAAGAGAATCATAGTGGTTGGCTGCCTTGACCGGAAGTTTTCTGCGCTTTCTCTGAATACTAACAGACGAATGTCGAAACTGCGTCCTAAAAACGGTCCACCAATCGCGTGCTACGTTTCCTTTTTCATTCTCGGCCCTTCTCCTCTTACACACACTATACTACCACACATATTATGAAGAGACCACACGCGATCTTCGCGCTTATCCCGGCTGGTGTGGTACCGCGCTAGGGGAGATAACTTGTTGGGGAAAATTTCCGGAGGAAAATAGCCACCACCCCTGCGATAATAATAAGCTCTACACTTATGGGAGTAATTACCTTAGCAGTTGACATGTCCGAAATCACCAATGAATCAAACGATTGATGCCGTGGATTTTTAAAGGCAAAAATAATCTGTCATTTGCAGTGGAAGTAAATTGTAGTAGATTTACTGCATGTTGTAGATTTAGTGCATGTAAAAAACACTCGAGTCTTGAGAAGCCTCTGAGCTAAACAGAATCGCCGGTTTCGAGGCTACGTACTACCTCAGGTTTTTGTCCAGTTTCCCTGATCCATTGAGCAAATGCTGAAATGGCCCCATGTTTTGCTTCTGGACGTAAATGTAGCATCACTATGGGCACGTTTTGTTAAACTCTCCTTTTGCTTGTAATGGTAGGAGTAGAGGTAAGGGCGAGTAACTATTTTGCTAGCAATGCAGAAAAATCATACTTGCAATTCGTTTAGCGATACAAATAAGTTTTCTTTAACTCGGGAACGAAAATGTCAATTTTTTCACATATTGCTAATCTCACGGTTTTTTACAATTTACTTTTATTTATTTTAAATTTTTACTCATCTTTCAACTGAAGGGAAGGGATTCTGGAACTCAAGGAAACATGCGCAGATGATCTCCCCCGTACGTCACATACAGATTTTACGTTGTTTTTTTTTCCTAAATAAATATAAATCTATATTCTTTCTCCGGTAAACGGTGAAAAGAACATAGCGAAATTTGCAGGGTCATACGGTGGCCTAAGTCTCACCCTCTTTAAGTGATTGAAATGAATGGAATTGAATACCTTTCTGGATGTCGTAGTCCTGGTAGCAGCGGTTGTCCTCCAGCTGTCGCCCGGCGAAGATCAACCGCTGTGCCACCGTGGGCACGCGTTCCTTCTCCTTGATCTTCGCCTTGATTCTCTCTATAGTGTCCGACGCCTCGACATCGATGGCAATGGTCCTGGTGAAGGCGCGCACAAAAATCTGCATTGTCTGAAACAGAGATAATAAGATTGATTGATTGATTGCGCGCGGCGATGGTGTACCGTAAAAACTGTATGTTAGCGTATCGGACTGGTATACCGAAGTTGGCGGGTTCAAACCCGATCGAAGCCGTGGATTTTTAAGGGCGAAAAAATCCTTCGTACGCCTACCTTTGGAGGGGAAGTAAAGCCGGCTGTCCCATGTAAGAGACCATGTAAAAGATCCTCAAGCCTAAATGACGCCTCTGGGCTAAATTCAAAATAGCCTGTTTCCCGTCCCAAAAATACCTCCTTCCTCTGCTAGTTGGTGAAAGAAGCGAAGCGAAATTTGCGTGGTCAGACGGAAGAGCGGGCCTGATGGCCCGAGTCTCGCCACGTAAAATAAGGCATTAATTCAATTCAATTGATTGGATTCAACTGAGAAAAAATATTCCGTATGTGTAGTGCATGATGTTTGCTCGGTAGGTGGCGGTGAACTTCCCCCGCTGGCTGGTGAGATCCGGCGCCGATCTTCCGTCCGCTAGTAGGGTTTTTCCTCAATCAGGTATCAGTTATATTAGCAGTTATATCAATCTGAGCCATCTCTCTCGGTGAGAGATGATTTCGTAAGTTGCTTTCAGAACAATATTACAATAAATAAATAAATATTTAATACTATTATATAGAAAGTGTATAATGCCAAAATTTAGCCAACTCTACATTATACGCTGAGGGGGTTATTCCCTAAAATATAGCGCATGTTACATCGAAGGAGGTGGCCGTCCTTACCATGCTGAAACATGAGATACGTCTTCGACCTACACAAATGCTTGCGGGTGTCCCCCTCCAGGTATTTTCACCAGGACACACACTTTTCTGAACTTGGAATGCGATATCGATGCCCATGTTAGCAAAACAACGATTTTTCGAAGCCAATGTTTTTTTTAATTGAAAGAAAAAGTCACTCATTCTGTCAAATTCTGTTTTAAAAACATCGATGGTTTGGGGTCGATGTTTTAATTTTGAGCATCAATGTTTTCTCGGCCATGCCGCATCCCGATGTTATTCATAACGAGTTCTAAGCCCCCAACAAGTGTAGTAGTGCGTTTGTAATTAATGGTAGATCAGCAGTTAAGGATGATGATGGAAACAGCGAGCATGGTTCGTGACCATTTTGTTAGTATATGGTTCCGGAATCTTGCGTGATACTTCTCTAAACTTATTTTATTAGAAATTGATAATTTAACTCTCTTATGAAAAGTGGATATCACTGTAACTTAGATTTGCAGGTGACAATTTGAATAATAGATAATAACTTAAAATTTTTGAAATTCTAACTGTGAGTACATGTGCGGTTGTAAAAAATTAATGTATTTTCAATTGAAGGTTAATTTTATTGGAATGTGTGTACAATAAAATTCAATTCATTTTTATTCAAACGTTATTCATCGAGAACATTATTTTTCACATTTTAAATATTTCCTGTCATAACATATATGTTCCTTACATCTCAATTCTCAATTCACTTTCCAAGATTCACATTGGGAAGTGCCAAAATTATCATGATCAATAAGTCATTATTAAACCACCCAATATCCATAATTTACTTTTAAATAATTAAACGATCCAAAAGGTAAATCATGTTTTAGCCACTGATTGTTTGTACTAACGTCTAATCGAAATGAACAAAGCCAAAACAGGTTTTTCATTATTTGTAAAATTATCTATATTGGAACATTGTAAGTTATGGCTCTAACTTAACTTGAACTAGCGTAGAATTGAAAAAGTTATTTCAAATTTTTAATCTACAAGCTAATAACCGTCAAAAACATATGAAAACTGTTCACAACTACGAAAAACTGAATTTCGTTTCGAGCGTTGATTTATTTAGTGAAATAACATTAAAAACTGGTTATGACGTATGGGGAGAAGAAAATCTCCAGGTCTACAGAATCTCTTGCCAACATTTTAACTATAAGCAGTTAAATGATGAATAAAAGTGCAGAAAACGAAGTTAGCAACTTTTGAAAACTAGATATTTTTGCTCCCGAGTTATAGAAACTTATTTGCATCAGTATGCCAACTGCAGATTTGTTTGTGTTGCTAACAAAATAATAACACATGGGCTGCGGCGGCGATGGTGTAACGGTTAGCGTACTGGACTGTTGTGCCCAAGTTGGCGGATTCAAACCCGATCGAAGCCGTGGATTTTTAAGGGCGAAAAAATCCTTCGTATGCCTTCCTTCGGAGGGGAAATAAAGGCGGCTGTCCCATGTTCGTAGATTTACTTGCATGTAAAAGATCCTCAAGCCTAAATGACGCCTCTGAGCTAAATTCAAATCGCCTGTTTCTCGCCCAAGAAATACCTTCTTTCTCTGCTATATGAAAGGAGCGTAGCGAAATTTGCGTGGTCAGACGGAAGAGCGGGCCTGATGGCCCGAGTCTCGCCACGTAAAATAAGGCATATTCAATTCAATTCAACACATCCCTGGCTCTATTCCTACCACATCTAGTAAGAGGTAGCTCAACAAAACGTGCACATTTTAAGTAAACACAAATATCAAAAATCCCTATCACAGATCTAGTTACTTTGAAATTAGTAGGTAACGACAATACATTCGATGTGTCACGTCATAATTATTTTATTGTTGAAGAACAAAGGACAGGAGTGCCAATGTCATACAAATAAAATTTAGAATTTCTGCAGGCATTAAAATAAAAAACGGTGAATGATGGAACTTTTAATTTATATATAAAATATAATTATTAGTTTGGACGTACTGTTTTTTATATTGATTGTGGCCTTCGAAACATATACGCTAAATCAGTACTTTCAATAATCATGAAATGTAAAGTGACGTGGGGGAAGTTAGGGTCAACAGGGAGTGAACAGAAAGTCACTTGGACTCTATTATTAATCATTTAATCAATAAATACCGATCTTAATAGCACTGTCCTTAATATCTGTACAGGCATAAGAAACACTCTTCTTAAAGTCGTCATAGAAAAATAATTTACATTCTTTAAGAATACTATGAACATAATTTCCAGGGCAGAAATGAAAAAACGTATTACAATGAAAGTAATACTATTTGGGTTTTACACACTCAGCATAATGCTTAATTGCATAAAATGTTAAAATAAGCCTTTTCAAAACGTTACACACGACGACTGAATTTGAACGAATGCCGAATATAATGTGAAAATCATTATGTTCAATTCAGTTCAATGGCTTCACAGAACTTGATAACATACTACGTAATGAATTGGTCCATGCACAAAACACCGCATTTAAATATCAAGTCTTCAAAAAAATTTAAACTTACTGTTTCAGGAACACAGATTTCTCCCATCCACAATTCTCTCTCACGAATGTACCAACCTGCAAGAAATGGCGGAAACGGTTAATCAACAAACGGAAACAGATGAAGGGAGTGCTTTCAGATAGTCAAATAACATATTCATTTACAAATTAAATATTCTCACTTGTTATACATATGTTGATTATTAAACATAAATAACAGATCCACCTTACTTAACTACCTTCTATGTCTTTTTTTTCTTCTGATAATTATATTTTAGATTGAAAAAATAGCATTACGTTATCTAGCGAAGTATGTGTCAACTCTGGATTCTGTACTGTGTAAAATCTATATTAAGTAATATCTGAATCACTTTTAATATTCTGAAATGCGTAGGAAATGTAGGAAATAATTTTGTTTTTTCTTTTCCAATCAAAAGTATACATTTTTTAATTTAACAAAATAGAAATTTGTCATCTTCTAAGAACTTAAGAAAGCATGCGTTTTATTGCATGTTACCGGACGTAGCAGGTTCCTAGTATTTTACGAGAATGTTGTGGAAGGTACCATGTACCAGGACGTTTGAATTCTGGGATTTAAATCCACGGCAATTAGTGTTGTGGGACTTGAGTCGTATAATACTTTTTTATTTAATAATTTAAAAGTAACATCAATATTAAAAATAACTATGATATTGGTGAATCACTGTCGTAAACATTAAGGGTGACATAGGATGGTCTTTTTCTACAGCAATGATATAGTAGAAAGGGGAAAGAACGTATCAGTCTTCCGTTTTAATTTATCGAAATAAAATAAATCGCTATCGAGCCACCATGATATCGAGGCAAATTTAACGAAATTTCTGTGCGCCTTAAAAGAATAATAGATGTAATATGAAGAATTTTAGAATTTAAATCATTGACACCGGAAAAGTTAGTGATAGTATCAGGATTTCTGAAGTTTGGTACTGGGATGTACATTTAATCATATGGCAATCAGCTGACTGATAGGTAGGCGTCGGGTCTCGCCATCCAACCAGTGGAAAATAACTGCTACCTCCCACGCCAAAAAAACATGCATTACATTTACAAGACTAATGAACTTAGCACCCCGCCCGGAATCATCAATCAATCAATTATGATGTAATTAGATCACGTGATTATAAAGGGAGAAACCAAAGCCAGATGTAGACACAGATTACGAAGTAAGAACTTCGAAGTAAGATCGTATATATCGCCCAGAGAGTATATATAACTTCGATGTAAGACCAAGCCGTTTTAGACAGATGTATTGTCCGATTTAAATATAATACCTTTTGATAGGTAATAGTTGTGAAGCGTTTATTTAATTGGAAGCTTTGTTACGAAGTGAATTTTTCGTATTAATTTCTTTAGATGATTGTCCCTTTCCTTCCACCTTTTGACCTTGAGAAGTCACTATATTTAAAATGGATATCGGGCAGTCTGCATGGCAACGCAGATGCGTAAGGATATGTCATTTTTTAAACATTGTGAATTTAGTTTAGTTATTGTGACCAAGCAATAATAAAATGACAATAATTTTACATGTGGTTTCCAACCTGTGAATTTGGCTCGTCTTGGGTTAAATAGTTTTAAACAAATAGCAAGAAATGTTTGGGCAGTTTACACATAAGCGAAGTGAAATAAGTCATTTCCATTGGCAAATTGGTTGAAACACTTGGGTTCGAAGCCTCAAAACGAACATATCATTATTCAATTCTTCCTCCGTTCATCTTCCCATTCACAATTGGGAAAACATTAAAAATGCAATACCCTATTATTGATTTCTGAAGTACAACACCTAAATACGCATCAGTTACCCCTTGTAATCTTGAAACTCGATATGCATATCTTTTTTTTTGGAAAAATTAAGTAGTTCTAAGCAAAACACAAGTTGGCTCAATCGAAAAAAGCAATTCACCACGCGCAGACTTCCTAAACCACGGAGCTAAGAATTTACTACGTGTTCCTAAACCAACGTTGCCAGATGATTAAATGTATATCTCCCAGTACCAACTTCAAAACTCCTGGTACTTTCACTAAAATACCTGATAACAAGGCCAGAATACCATCGTACATGCTAAAGAAACAATGAAAACACGCCACAGGCGAGAACCAGAGGATGAAGTAAATATTTGATCAGAACGAGTCGCATCTCGGTAAGCGGCGAAAGTAATGCCGTGAGCAAATTGTTTTTTGTTTTTTTTGGAACAAATTTTACCAATTAAATTTATTTTCGAGAAAATGCGAAAGTACGAATTTGCGACTGATTAGATAACTTGGAAAAATGTTTACTTCGTGTGGACTTATAAGTAAGAATAATTCAGGTCGTAGAGTGATCGCGACGAATATCAGATGACTAACTCATGAGGTGGATGCATAACCTAAATAGAATTTGGAATGTGGTCGCAGCAACAGGACGCCTGTGTTTTTGGTTCATGAAACAAATAATAGAAGGTATCGAAGTTATTATATGTCACATTTGGATATTTATGGAATATGAGAGAAAATTACGCAGAATGTAAATTGTTTTTTTTTAGTAAATGGATTTTTTTCTCCAATACATGAGTGAAATTCCAAATTACTCTAAATCTTTGTGCTAGCAATTGCACTAAAATTAAGCAATTTTAGACGAATGGATGATTAACATTGATGAAGGAGAGAAATAAAAAGTTCGTCTTGGAACCCAACAGGGTGAATAGAGCCATGAGAGTAATAATTCAATGCAATAGATAGACTCTAGTGCTGGGCACTATAAAATTTATGTCAATAAAAGAGAATTCATTTCAAGACGCTAATTTTAACTTTCTCGTATATGAAAAGTTATGTAAAAACGGAAAATAGATTTCGAGATTTCGACGAAAATACACGTTTTGGGGTTTCGTTAATTTCGAAAAAGTGTTTTATTTTTTCAAAACGTCCGTCTCTCCCTCTGTCCGTCTAGTTTCTGAGAACACTACTAGCGCCTAAACTATTCGTAGATTTTTTTCCAAATTGGGGAAATCCTTGTTCATCTAGGTCGAGTCGAAACTTTGAGATTTTAAAAACTATTCTTCAAAATTTGGGGGTACTTTACATGAAGCCCTCCGGACATTTTCAAAATGTTCTCAAAAGCTGCTCCAATTTCTTAGATTTCTTCTAAGAATAAAGTAACATCCACTTATAAACGTGGCGTAGGGCCGAATTTTACGTTTAACACTAAATTGTCGAAAATTTCAAAAGTATGCATTTTTTAGTGTATTTCTACAACTACAAAATTAAAGATAGAAAATTTTCCTTGAAATGAATTTTTTTCATAGTTAGTTCTTTTATTAAAGTCATAAACTTTTTTTGAAAATTTTAGTAGTCTTCGCGCAATAATGCGTTCAATATATGCAATTTAAAAAAATACAAAAATAGGATTTTTTCAAAAATGTCTCCCAATTTTTTGTTTAAACGTTTCGAACGGGTAATGCTAATTCCACTCTTTAATATAATGTAAAGTTCATTTCGGTGTTTTTTTTCAAAACTTACACAAATGGCAATTTTCTGAAAGATCTCTCACTCCGTTGATATGCACATTTCCAGAAGTTTGTAAACACTATTGTATTTGTGAATTAAAGTACTGAAGATGACTAGCAATGAAGTTTTTCAAAAACTCGAAAAAATTATGGGAAAAAGAGCTTCGAATTTCGATTTTACAGGAGCGCTTAAACGCCATTTTTTGAAAAATAGCTCCAAATTTTAAAACAATGTCATTTAGGAAGAGGTTTTACTATCCTTTAACAATCTTCAAATAATATTTTCGCTCTACAACTAGAAAACCGAAAAATTTAGAAAACATCAAAAAGTGAACTATGGGTGGCAAAATATGGTCAATAGCGACCACTATTAATTTACATCTCAATTCCCTACCTAATAACAGTCAGAATAATTCTGATTGTTACGAGTAAGAGGAGTAATTATGATTAAATACAAAGTTAGGCACCAGAAATACATTTTATTAATTATAAAAATCAGAAATGTTAAGTACAATACATTTTACAATAATTTAGATAATTTTATCAATACCAGCAACATTAAATAATTAATCATTGATTTGCAACCGTTAATTGAATTAAACATTGAATATATATCAACTTTGATGTCAAGAGAGTTTCGTAGGTTTTGTAGGTTTAAACATTCAAGGATAATGTGAGATGTTGATAACATTCGTCCACATTTTGGATAGGTGTCTGGGTCGGTTTTACTTTCTCGCACTTAGTAAGAAGAGAAAGTATTGTAATCGTGCACCGGAAAACGGCGAACTTTTGACACAAACTCTTATTGCCTGGTCCTGGCTACGAAAAAGTGGATAAATTCCGTTGCTAAATTAAAAAAAAATCATTAACACGTGGTGTAGCCAAAATCCATGTTTTGTGCGTCCTTCATACCGAAAAATCGATTGACGGCAAAATGCCTGTCTATCTGTGCACAACGCTTGCGCATAAACCGTTCAGCCGATTTTCTCTAAAAATGGTATTTCCTAATCGTTCTAACTGATGTCGCGGCACCTGGGATTTGAAAACAATATTTAATTTTTGGGGGT